TTTTTCATAATGTTATTTATTTTAATAATTACTCTCTATATTTCTCATCTTTGATAATTAATTTTTATTAGAATAATAAATAAAACAAACAAAGTTATTTCATCATTTATTTAGCTCTTAAATATTGTAATTTAATTTCAACCAATAATTATCATTAATATGTAATTAAAAAATATAGATTAAAATAAAATAATAGGGTAAAATGTTGAATCTTATTAAACAAATCATTGTAGAATATAAAAAATGAATGAATGTTGAATTACTAATAAGTAAAAAAAGAGAGAAAATAATGTAGAAAAAAAACAAAATGATGTAGATAATGTTGTGTATTGAAACTATTATACATAGTCTAAGTCATATCATGTTTTTAAGTTTTTCAACACTCTCAATATAAAGTTTCAACTGTTGAAATAAAGATTCAACACCACCATGTATATAGTCTACGAAGACAAACGAAACATTTATAAAAGATTTTGAGATGAAAAATAGTAGGGTAATTTCTCAAGTAGCATTTGTTAAGTTTTTGTCACAAAAGTAGTTCTCAAATAATAAAATGTCAAAAATAGTTCTTTTTATTTTGAAATTTTAAAATTAATTTTATTTTATTTTGTTAAATTTGAAACACTAAAACCAAAACTCCATCCTTTAATTCTAAATCATAAGTCTAGATTATTAATCCAAAGATGTAAGTACATATTTACTTTTTATTAACAACTTATTTTGGTCATTTTATCTTTTAAATGCTATTTTGTGAAAATAAATTAAAAGGGGTTATTCAAAGGAATTTTTTAAGTATCATAGTAATTGATTAGACCTTATACTCCCTTTGTTTCATTTTATTTGTCATTCTAGGTTTTTGTACACAGATTAAGAAAATATTTAATTTTACATATTTCCAAGATAAAAATACAATTACCTATACAATCTTGTGTCTCTTTCGTTTTGATTTTATTCTTTCTTATTCCTAAATCGATTCACAAATCCAAAGTAGATTCAAGCTAAGGAATCCTAACAGAAATGAAATTGTACCACCACCAGAGATAGATCAAAGGAATGAAGATAATGATGCAAGGCAAACTTGTGATGATGAGCTTGATGTACATGGAAGCAATGTGGAGAAGATGAGTATGCCCGATGATGGAAACAAGGAGCCAAAGTGTTTGCTCCATGAAGATGGTGGCATGGCTGTAGAAAAGGGGAGCTCGGAAAAGAAGGAAGATGATAGTTTGATTCAGCAGAAAAAGATTGCATCAAATGCAGACAACAATGAACCAACCCTTCTTCAAAATCTTGCTTCTGGAGGTTTTGAAGTACCTGGTGAGTCAAACAATGGCAATGCTGTAGGTTATGAAACTTAAGGACATGATTGCTTTGTTCATGACACTGTCCTTGGAACTGAAGAAACCGTGAATTCCAGTGAGCAGTTAGAAAAGGGAAACGAAGATGTTGGTGATGGTGATAATGACTCATATGAAAAGAGTTTGCATTATCAAGCTTCAAAGAAATCTGGCATGGTTGAAAGCAAGGAAAGCCACAAAAAAAATAGAAAATTTCAGCAGCTCGTTAGATCTAAGGAAAGTTCAATGCTGATATAGGAAGTCAAATGCAAGTAGAATAATATCAAACATCTATCTTAACTGTGTGGTCTTTTTATTGCTTTAGTTTCTTTTGAAGACTGGTCTGGTTTAGGTGCTTTCATTTGTAGTTATGAACTAATAGCTTATAGCTTCTTGGTTTGTGTCCTATCAAAATTTTCTTACAGATATGGCTTCATCCCTAGATGGGAGTGTAAATGGAACACCAAGTTTGAGAAAAACTAGCATAGATACTAACCTGCTCCACCAAGTTTCTCTGCAAGATTTTCAATCATTTCAAAATTCTCCATACTCTTTAACGCCCTTCCATCAGTTATCACAACATGTGCTACTTCCAAGATCAGGGCCGTTCTGTAGTATAGCAGCTCTCTCGTCATTGCTCTTCTGATTGATCTCTCCCATCAGATTCCCATCACTTGGTCGAGTTTTTGAAATGTTTCCGTTTAAATCAGAGAAGAAACGACGACGTGCTAAAAGTCACTCTGCAAATGTCTACTTTAGAAGCACAAGTGAGGCAAATCTGCTTATATACTTTAGAGTTTAGACCCTTTGTTACAGTTTGCTATATACATTTCTTAATGATTATTATATTCATTACCTTGAATATACAGATGGCTTAGAGGAGATGATAACATCAGTTTATAAGGGTCTCTTGTTTCCAAAAGCTTCTTTAGCAACTCCGGTATTGCCTCAGAAGATCTCCAACAGTTTCCATAATCAGACGTACCTACAACTGTTTTAGCATGGTTCGGGGCTAACTTAGTTGGCAAGAAGGTTGCATAACTTTCTTACTATTTGTGTCTAACCTCATGGAAACTAATCATTATCTATCTTTTGGTGTGGATTTATGTTTGCTCTTTCACATATGTAGATAGCCTCCCTATATGATCAAATGAGGAAACCAATACTTTTGCTTCTGAATTTGGTGCAGAGAAACTTTGAGGTGTCACATAGTCTAACTTTCAAAACAACAAACATATTCATATGGCTTTTCATATATTTATTTTAAGAGAATATAAGCTTATAGTTTAGTATCATGCAATGTTCTAAAAATTTGTTTAGGCAGCGCCTAGACGATAAACCGGTTATGACCGAAACAATTTTCATAAAATTCGATTTATACGAGTCCAATCGATTTAAACCATTTATAATGGTTTAAAACACTTTAAATTAAGTTGAAACGATCTAAATTAATCTAAGTTTATTAAATTAAGCAATATTGTTAACATAAATTCACAAATTTGTTTAATTTCCTTTGTTTTGTATATATAATTTTGATAATTCATCAAAATAAACTTATAATTCAAGTTTAAAAAATTAAAAAATTTTATATAAATATAAAATACAAATAAAATAAATAAATAAGTTGTTAACGCATATGCTTTGTCTAGACCCAAATAATAACTAGTCTCTATAAAGCGCCTAGTTAATGCTTAGTGATTTTTAAACATTACTATGTGATTTCTTAAACATTACTATCTTGTAAATTTCGTTTAAGTTCAGTTTATGATTTGAGGATATTTATACATATAGGTTTGTACGAAATTTAAATCAGTTTTGTGTTAAGATGTGTGTATACAGTGTAATAATCATTAGTTTTGTCTATTTTCCAAATGAAAATCTTATATCTACAATTTTTGACATTATATCATTATTTTGTATAAAATTTGTTATCCGCATAATTTTATTTTTGAGACTACAATGTTCTTGTAGGCTCATAAGACTATCTACATTGGTTCTATTTTTTCAACACCCTATATTTTATATTTTATTCTAACACATCACTTTCTCTTTCATCCACATATACATCTAATATTTTTTATTTCAGAATAATTTTAATTTTAGAAAAAGCAACAGATTATCTATTTATTTTCATTTCATATTTTAATTTTGTAAATAAATAATAACAGTTAAAACATAAACAATTATTATTTCAAAAATAAAATGATTATAACATTAAATAAAATGGTTAGAATTGAAATCTTATGAAATATTTAATAAGAATATAATATAACAAAATTTGCTTGAAAATGTCTAAATCTTATGATAAAAAAGTTAGTCTCTATTTATCGATCATAAAAAATAGATAAAAAAGAAGAAAATAAATAAATCAATTTGCTGTGGAACATATGACTCCAAATACGTAAGATGAATATGAAAAATTTAATTATTATCAACAGCCAAAAAAAAAGACACCACATATTGTTGTGGATCCCATTTTTTGATTTTCAACTTGTTGAATAAATTTAACACCAAACAATACAAGTCATATTATGNAAAAAATAGATAAAAAAGAAGAAAATAAATAAATCAATTTGCTGTGGAACATATGACTCCAAATACGTAAGATGAATATGAAAAATTTAATTATTATCAACAGCCAAAAAAAAAGACACCACATATTGTTGTGGATCCCATTTTTTGATTTTCAACTTGTTGAATAAATTTAACACCAAACAATACAAGTCATATTATGCTCTCTTCCAAGAGACTCATAGCGAAGCTACAGCACGTGAAATAAACATTCAATAGGTCTAGTGTAAAATGTCTTACAATGGTGTGTTGAATTTATAAATTCATCTGTTAGCATGTTGCAATGAGATGTTTAATGATGTGTTGAAAGTGAGTTGATATTCAACTTATTAAAAAATTGACGGTGTTAAATTTCGTTGGAGAGAAGAGAAATTATAGATATGGACTTCTGCCATTGGTAAAGACAAAAGTGTTGGTCAAGTTTTTTTTTAATGTATGTATTCATTTTTTTCATTTACATTATTTGATTCAATTATTATATATTAAATTATGTATTTTTAAAAACCATCATATAAGAACTTATCATTCTTCAAACTCTATAAATTGAGATTCATTAGATTTGGACACAAATAAAAACAATCTTTAGCCTCTCATAAACTCTCGTTTCTATGTTATTCCTATTTTTGTTGAGGAAATGGATCCTAACAAATTATGATATGTGTGTTTTATTATTTATGTTGTGTGCTTATTAATGTATTGTACTATAAATTAATTTTTTCATAATGTTATTTATTTTAATAATTACTCTCTATATTTCTCATCTTTGATAATTAATTTTTATTAGAATAATAAATAAAACAAACAAAGTTATTTCATCATTTATTTAGCTCTTAAATATTGTAATTTAATTTCAACCAATAATTATCATTAATATGTAATTAAAAAATATAGATTAAAATAAAATAATAGGGTNTTTTTCATAATGTTATTTATTTTAATAATTACTCTCTATATTTCTCATCTTTGATAATTAATTTTTATTAGAATAATAAATAAAACAAACAAAGTTATTTCATCATTTATTTAGCTCTTAAATATTGTAATTTAATTTCAACCAATAATTATCATTAATATGTAATTAAAAAATATAGATTAAAATAAAATAATAGGGTGAAATGTTGAATCTTATTAAACAAATCATTGTAGAATATAAAAAATGAATGAATGTTGAATTACTAATAAGTAAAAAAAGAGAGAAAATAATGTAGAAAAAAAAAACAAAATGATGTAGATAATGTTGTGTATTGAAACTATTATACATAGTCTAAGTCATATCATGTTTTTAAGTTTTTCAACACTCTCAATATAAAGTTTCAACTGTTGAAATAAAGATTCAACACCACCATGTATATAGTCTACGAAGACAAACGAAACATTTATAAAAGATTTTGAGATGAAAAATAGTAGGGTAATTTCTCAAGTAGCATTTGTTAAGTTTTTGTCACAAAAGTAGTTCTCAAATAATAAAATGTCAAAAAATAGTTCTTTTTATTTTGAAATTTTAAAATTAATTTTATTTTATTTTGTTAAATTTGAAACACTAAGGCCCTGTTCGTTTGTACATCTGAAAGATGCATCCAGATGGTTCATCCAGATGTTCTATCCAAATGCTCCATCTAGATGTTGTTCGTTTCTCTATTTCGTCTATATATCTAGATGAATCATCTGAATGTAACTATGTTCGTTTGTTTTTTTTTTCAACTTACATCTGCATCTAGATGGATTTGTTAATGAAATGAGTAAAATAACTTGCGTTTATATTTTTGGCGGAAAAACGCAGTTTTACGATTTTGATGAAAAATGCGTTTTTGCGGTTTTGGCGGAAAAACACGTTTTTACGGTTTTGGCGGGAAATACGTTTTTGCAGTTTTGACGGGAATACGTTTTTACGATTTTGTCGGGAAAACGTGCTTTTGCGGTTTTGGCAGGGAAACGCGTTTTTTCGATTTTGGCGGAAAAATATATTTTTGCGGTTTTGGCAGAAAATGCGTTTTTACGGTTTTGGTGAGAAAACACGTTTTTTGCGGTTTTGGCCGAAAATGCGTTTTTACGGTTTTGGCAGGGAAATACGTTTTTACAGTTTTAGCGGGAACATGTGTTTTTTTGCGGTTTTGGCGGGAAAACACGTTTTTACGATTTTGGCAGAAAAATGCGTTTTTGCAATTTTGGCGGAAAAATACATTTTTACGGTTTTGGCGAGAAAACACGTTTTGTGATTTTGGGAGGAAAACGCGTTTGGTTTTGGCGGGAAAATGCGTTTTTTGCGATTTTGGCGGGAAAATGCGTTTTTGCGATTTTGGCGGGAAAATGTATTTTTGCGGTTTTGGCGGGAATATTTATTTTTGGCGGGAAAGTGTATTTTTGCGATTTTGATTGGAAATGCGTTTTTGGTTTTTAACGGTCTGGTGAAAAAAAAAATTGTTTTTTATGGAAAAATGTATTTGCAAAAAAGATTAGTATTGTTGGTTTGAAAAATTATATTTATTTTTAAAGGTTATTTTTCTCATTTATCATTTGGACTGAACTAGATGCATCTGCATCCAGATGCACCATTAAGACTCACCCTCATTTGGGTGAGAATTTGAGATGAGTTTTAAAAAATTCAGTTGGATGATCCATTTGGATGTAACATTTTAATGTACAAAACGAACATCAATTTGCATCTTCACCCAGATAGATCACTTGGGTGAGCAAACGAACAGCACCTAAAACCAAAACTCCATCCTTTAATTCTAAATCATAAGTCAAGATTATTAATCCAAAGATGTAAGTACATATTTACTTTTTATTAACAACTTATTTTGGTCATTTATCTTTTAAATGCTATTTTGTGAAAATAAATTAAAAGGGGTTATTCAAAGGAATTTTTTAAGTATCATAGTAATTGATTAGACCTTATACTCCCTCTGTTTCATTTTATTTGTCATTCTAGGTTTTTGTACACAGATTAAGAAAATATTTAATTTTACATATTTCCAAGATAAAAATACAATTACCTATACACCTAACCACTTTTCAACCAATAGAAAAATAGAATATTATATAAAACTAATAAATTTTGCCTCGAAACTTTAAAACGACACTTAATTTGTGACAAAAAATAAGCCTAGAATGACATATATTTTGAAACGGAGGGAGTATTAATTAATTAATTAATGTATTTATTTCCAGTTACGTTGAAAAGGAACTGTTGGCATTCCAGCTCTAGCTCTATCACCTCTGCAACACGCGAACACCATTGTTTTATGAGCTTTTCATCTTGGCTTTCTTTCAAATTTCGAACGTACAATCAAATCAAAGATGAGGAAAAAAACAAAGCTTTCATCTAACGAAGATCTTGTTGAAGAGAGAGAAGAGCTGATGGTATCTCCCTCCTCTAAAAACAGAGTTTCTCTGCCCCACATTCAAACCTCAAACACCAATTCAAAAAGGATAAAACTTTCTCTTTTATCTTCCTCTCCAGCAGTTGAAGAACTTGTTGACGAGAGAGAAGATTTCATGGTGTTTCCCTCTGAAAACAGTCCACCTAGTAGCAGTGGAAAAACCCAACTTCTCAAAGCTAAGCTTCCTCTGCCTCCTCCTGACTTAAAGGCTCTGTCTTTGAGTGTTTCTTTCCATGGGTTTAGGCTTCCACACATAAAGTTCAAGTCTTGGGCTAAGAAAATGTCTTTTCTGCACGAACCCACTTGGAAAAAAGCTGGGATTTACGAAGCAGTTGTGGCATCCACAAAGAACATCATTAAAGACTCAGATCTAGTTCTCGGTATTACTGAGAAATGGTGTCCCAAAACCAAAACTTTCGTCTTCCCTTGGGGTGAAGCAACCATAACACTTGAAGATGTTATGTTGCTTTTAGGTTTCTCTGTTTTGGGTTCACCTGTCTTTGCTGCCCTGGATGGCTCAGGAGAGAAGATTAAGGAGAAGCTGGAGAAAGAATGGGTCAAGATTAAGAAATTTCAAGCCAGTAGTTGGGTAACTCAAGCAGCTTGGATGAGAAGATTCATGGACAGTTGTGATGATGAGCTAGAACATGTGGCTTTCCTTGTGCTGTGGCTAAGCTACTTTGTGTTTCCATCACGGTATTATCATATGGATGAAGCTGTTTTTGAAGTTGCTGTTCATCTTTCAAGTGGTACCAGGATTGCTTTGGCTCCAGCTGTACTTGCACACTTGTATGCTGACTTAAGTCTCTTGAAAGACCACACTAGAGCTTTCACCAGATCCAAGAAGTCTATCAAAAAGATTGAGCTGAACGCCTTGTTTAAGTTGGTCCAAGTTTGGACATGGGAGAGATTCAAGGAACTGCAGCCAAAACCTTACCTTCTGCTACAAGGTCACCCAAGGTTGGCTCGTTGGGATGATGTGAAACAAGGAAACAAAGATGTGAGACAGATTCTGGACAACTCAAAGATCGACAGTTTTGAGTGGAGACCATACACAAAAGCTGTGAAGAACTGGGAACTTCCTAAGTTTTACCCGGAGAGAGCAATGTTGGTTCATGTTGGTTCTGATCTTGATGAGGAATTTATCTCCTTTGCTCGATGCATCAAGGTGTCTGAGCTTGTTGGAATTGATTGTGTGGAACACTACTTTCCCAACCGAGTGGCTTCACAGTTTGGATTGCTTCAGGATGTTCCTTGTCCTGTTGTTAACAGGAGTAACCTCTCAAAAGAGGCAGCTTGGGATGAGTACAACAAGCCTATTGAGGAGTTGACGTTGTTTATCCCTTCTCATTCTGCTACGATACCTCATGTCACCTCAATGTTCTACGGCTGGGGGAAGAAGTCGTATCCACAACTCCAGCATTCTTTGAAGGGGAAGGGTGTTGTTGAATCATCTGAAACATTGAAACCAAGAAACATCATAGGAAATGCTTATGATGTTACATCTGCTTCACGTTCTAGGAAACGGACACGTAGGAAGAGAGTTTGTACTATGGGTCATTGTCAGACACATGACAATGATGATGACGATCTTAGCCTCACCATTGCTCAAATTAGGAGACTTAGTATTAAGAACTGTAGTGATGTAACTTATGGTGGAGAAGATGCTTCTGAACCGCTTGGTAAAAAGAGTAGGTTTGAGAAAGGGAGTGAAGGTAATGATGAAGCTGGCAGCAGAACATGGAAGGATATGGTTAGGAGCCCAAATGATGAAAACAATTCTTTAGATCCTACTCTTGGCTTTGATGATGCAACTAACATTCTTGTGTCATCACTGCCAGAGATAAGGCAAATTTGTGATGATGAGCTTGATGTACTTGGAAGCAATGTGGAGAAGATGACTACGAACGATGATGGCAACAAGGAGCCAGAGTTTCTGCTCCATGGAGAAAAGGGGAGCTTAGAGAAGGAAGATGACAGTTTGATCCAGAAAAAGATTGCGTCAAATGCAGATAACAAGGAACCAACTCCTTGTCAAAATATTGCTTCTGGAGGCTCTGAAAAATCTTGTGAGTCAAACAGTAGCAATTCTGTAGGTGATGAAACTCAGGGACATGATTGCTTTGTTCATGATACTGTCCTTGGATGTGAAGAAACTATGGAATCCAGTGAGCAGATAGAAAAGAGAAACGAAGATGTTGGTGGTAGTGACTTAATTGAAAAGAGTTTGCAGAATGTGAAGGTGATGGAATTATCAATAGAGGAGCGTATTATCAAGGTTCAAAGAAATGTGGCATGGTTGAAAGCAAGGAAAGCCACAAAACAGAAGAAAATTTCAGCAGCTCGTTAGGTCTAGGAAAGTTCAATGCTGATTTAGGAAGTTAAATGCAAGTAGAATAATATCAAACATCTATCTTAACTGTGTGGTCTTTTTAGTGCTTTAGTTTTTTTGAAAGACTTGTCTGGTTTAGGTGTTTCATTTGTAGTTATGAACTAATAGCTTCTTGGTTTGTGTCCTATCAAAATTTTCTTACAGATATGGCTTCATCCCTAGATGGGAGTGTAAATATCAGACATCTATCTTAACTGTGTGGTCTTTTTATTGCTTTAGTTTCTTTTGAAGACTGGTCTGGTTTCATTTGTAGTTATGAACTAATAGACTCCTTAATTGAATGGCTCCTGAAACACCAAACGCCACGTATAGCTCTGGTGCTACTATTTTCCCCCTTTGTCCCACCTGACACACACACAGACAAACAAACTCTTATTGGAGTTTAAAAGACGTTACAATGGAAGGAGCGTAATCAAGAGAAGATCCAAAGATCTCCCTGAAGGTCATAAGAACATATCCAGCAGCACGTGTAGCACCAACTGTGCAAATAAACAGAAAACCATTTATGCATCTCCACTTTGAAACAGAAATGGAGAAGAAAGGCAAATTCATTTGGAAAAAAAAACTAGCATAGATACTAACCTGCTCCACCAAGTTTCTCTGCAAGCTTTTCAAATTCTCCACACTCTTAAATGCCCTTCCACCAGTTATCACAGCACGTCCACTTCCAAGATCTGGCCGTTCTGTATCCTGATCTGCTTAAAAATTTCTTTGAGTCTGCAGTTATTGGGGTAACAGAAAAGGATGTAGTTCTAAGAGTACACAAGGACCCTCACCAGTATAAACGAACTCTACTCTCTACACAAAGCGTTCTTCTTCGTCAGAGCTCTGAGTACAACACACCTCTCGTCATTGCTCTTCTGATTAGTTTCCCATCACTTAGGTCGAGTTTTTTCTGAAACGATTCTGTTTAAATGAGAGAAGAAACGACGACGTTTTCAAAAGTCAAACTTCCTTTTTATTATCATTATTTTTATTTTAAAAAAAAAGAGGGGTCAAAGTTCAAAGATTAAAACAGAGTACTTCACGTGTGAGTGATACCATAATTCTAGTTCTAAATATAGTACGAAACTATGATGTTACTTTCCTATTTTATTTTCAGACGAGAGACATAGTGTTTCAAAAAAAAGAAAAAAGAGAGAAACAGAGATCACTGTCGAGATCTGCTTTTGTTTAATTTTGTTTCATTCTTGTCGCAGCCATGGTTTCCGCCACCAAGATCAAGTCCGTTGATTTCTACAGGTAACCAACCCTCTCTTGCGTTTCCTCTCTTATGTCCCACTTTTGATGATACATATGTGTATAATCCGTACCTTTTGATATATTTAGACAAAATGTGATGGGTTATGCATTTTGAGCATTCGAATATTGGTCTTGTTTTCTAAGTCGATGAGTGTAATTTTGTGGTGTTCTTTCAGGAAAATCCCGAAAGATTTGACAGAGGCATCTCTCTCTGGTGCTGGATTATCCATTATAGCTGCCCTCTTTATGATGTTTTTGTTTGGAATGGTAAAAAGACTCCTCTCTTTCTTGGCTTTTTTTTTTCGCATTCTCGGTTCTATTTGTTTGGAGTGATTCTATCTAATGGTTTATAATTGTAGGAGCTGAGTACTTATTTGGCAGTTACCACTCAAACATCTGTAATAGTTGACAATAGCTCTGATGATGACTTCTTACAAATTGATTTCAATGTCAGGTAGAAAATGAACAAAACCAACATTCATTCTTCTTTTTGTATATGTTATATGTTTTCAATCGTCTCTACGAATGCTGGTGGTTTCTTGATAAAAATGACATTTTGGTTTTGGTAGCTTTCCTGCTCTCTCATGCGAATTTGCATCTGTTGATGTAAGCGACGTCTTGTCAACTGTAAGTTTCTTAGTCTCTCGGTTCTGCCAAAACACATTGTCTGACGACTATTTATAGGCCTGGACAATTTTAACCGAAATGTGAAGAACAAAATCAAATGGAAAAATTGAAATCAGAACCACAATCGGATCATAACTCACACATATCGCACAAGTTCCTATATTTCGATATCTGAAATGGCTGAATTGAATCAAAAACCAAATGAACTAACTTTTACTTACCTACAAATATTATTTACTTTTAAATATAAAATAACCAAATATTTGAAATATAATTTATAAACCTACTAAAAATATCTGGATGTATATGCAAAGTTCGAATTAGTCAAAAAATACCGAGAAATATTTGTTTTTTTCATCTGAATAATTTGAATCATATGATATTTTTATCCAAACTATTCAAACTTATATTTTAACCGAATTACTATATATTTTATCCTAATTTCCCAAAACCGTACTGAACCACAAGCCAACTAAACACAATTTTTTTAAAAGATATTAGCTAGTTCCTAATTTTATCATCTGAACTGAACCGATCTGAATCGAATTTCTTCGGTTTTTAAATTGATCATAAATTCCCTTATCCAAATAATCTGATATCCAAAATAATTGATCCGAATAAAATCGAATACCAGAATGTCCAAGCTTAACTGTTTGTATAAACTCAATGTATAAAAGTAAAATAAAATAATATGAAATGAAAGGAAAATAACAGCAAAAGTCTTGACATTGCACTCACCCAAGCTGTGTCAAATACCTTATGTTTAAATTTTGTTGTCAATTCTTCAGAACAGGTTGAACCTAACGAAAACAATAACGAAAATTCCAATTGATCCACATTTAAAAGAAACTGGTGAGGAGTACCACTCCACCCCTGACTTAGATCTCATCAACCATGGAGACGAACATCATGACGACAATGCCTATGCTGCTGTACCTTTAACTGGTGGTAATTTTGACAAGATTTCACATAGGTAAGTTGGCAACTTCTTTTACTTTGTATGTTCAACTACTATAAGTGCATATCCAAGGGTTTGATAAAATACTGAAACCGAACTTTCTTTATGCAGATTCCCAATCTTGGTTGTTAACTTCTACGCACCGTGGTGCTACTGGAGTAGTCGCTTGGTAATGTTGTCTTTTCTTAGGGTGACTTGTCAGTTTTCTTAAATTTTTCATGAAAATATCTTATAAGACTGGGTTACAGTTTCCTTTTGGTAGACGAATCAAAGATGGTATTATTCTTGCTTAGTCTGTTACATTGTTTCTTCTCTTATCTCTGCTAAAACTTTTCAGAGACCATCATGGGAGAAAGCAGCTGAAGTTACAAGACAGAAGTGTGTATTGTGTTATTTTCTATCAGTTTTTAAACTTTGAAGAATCTTCCAAGTCACATGATTTTCTGATGACTCTTTGGCATTGCAGATATGGCCTTGATAATGATGGGCGTATCCTTCTTGGAAGTGTTGATTGCACTGAAGAACCTACTCTATGTACAAAGTAAATCATTGTTATGTCTCACTCCCTTATTCCTTGCTCTTGTTTTCAAAATAGTTTTGTTCTAGTTTGACCAATCCTAATCTATCAAATCAAGGTATCATATACAAGGCTATCCATCTATTCGTATTTTCCACAACGGTAGTGATCTTAGGTGAGCTTATTGTCACCATTAGCTTGCTTAAATCTACCAGTAGCATGCTGATCAACTTTTTTGCTTATTATCTTGACGATCTAATCTTGCTCAGTGGGGATGAAGGACACCAAGAACATGATTCTTACCATGGAAATCGGGACACAGATAGTCTACTCAAGGTAGAGTGACCTGAATTATATTCTATCGTTAGGGATCGATAATTCTAATTGTTTCATCAATATACTTTTCTGTATACCATGTAAACTAGTACAGAATAGAAATGTTAGACAATGTTATTGTGTTGTGTTTGATACAAAGTGTATATATATAGTGATTAGCATTAATATATTACTAACACTACATAGTATAAACTTTGATCATCCAAATCTAACACAACTGAAAAATATAGTAATAATGTAAATATACTATAGGTTTCACGGATTTGACAATCTTGATCTGCGAGATACACACTTTGCTACCTAATTTATCTTTAAATATATACATAAGAAGATTGTTTCTTCCAGATGGTGGAAGAACTGCTCAGGCCTATCAAGAAGTTTGATGGTACAACTAATCATTGGGCTTCACGTATTAGAAAGGCACCAGCTAGCGGAGGTTGTAGAATCGAAGGCTATGTGCGTGCCAAGAAGGTAAAAAGGTTACATAGTTATTGTCTCTTCTTCTAATGGTTTGTTATTGGTAATTATTTTGTTTTTTTTTTTTTTTTTTCAGGTTCCTGGTGAACTCGTTATCTCAGCTGTTTCAGGAGCTCATTCATTCGATGCTTCTCGAATGAACATGACACATTATGTAGACCACCTCTCATTTGGTAGACTGATTTCAGATAGGTTGTTGACTGATATGAGACGGCTACTGCCTTATCTTGGTCAAAGTCATGACAGGCTTAATGGAAAATGGTTCGTTAATGAAGGAAAGTTTGCTGCTAATGTTACTGTAAGTTTTCACAAAACTTTTACGTGAAGTTACTACTCGTGGTTTCTCTTTTAACGTTGGGACAAATACAGATTGAACATTATCTTCAAGTAGTCAAAACAGAAGTCGTTTCAAGAAGGTTTGGTCAGGAACACTCAGTGATTGAGGAATATGAGTATACAGCTCATAGCAGTGTGGCTCATGGTTACTATTACCCTGTTGCAAAGTTTCACTTTGACCTCTCTCCTATGCAGGTTTCTTCCTAGATTTCATCTCTCTCACCATTCTTTAGGAGGTCATAAACATTTTTTTTTTGTGTTTATTTTATAATATATGATCAACCGATAAATCGGCAATCTGATCCGGTTACAAACCCGCTTTGAACAAAATATCCGAAATCAAACTATTACAAACTATCTTCGCCCGCCCACTAAACCCGGCACAATCCAATAGCTTGTTTTTCGAAATTTTTCGGAAACATTTTAGGTTTATAGTAATAAATAAATATTCCTTTTCGATAATTTGAGAGTCATACGACCTATATATAGTGG